TATGCATTAAGAACTTTTAATTTCAACTTATATATAATATATATATATACATATATATATATATATGTATGTATGTATGTATGTATGTATATGTACACACACATGTAGAGAGAGAGAGAAAGGAGGGATCTACTTATTCCAATAATAAATCTACTATATATATATATATAATGCATGTTATGTTCACTAGTAAACAAAGGGATTTCATGAACGATTGCTAGCAATCACTTTATTTGTTGATAGGAGAAGGGATCGGGTGCGTGATTTCCACGGTGGTTGATGAACCTCTTACCTTATCTCTCAGGCAATACTCTTTCTCTCTAAACCTTCAAATTTCGCAACTTTCGCCTCTTTCTTATCTAATGTTGTTTATTTGCCTAACATCATCATCGTCTGGAGATTCCCATGTTTTCTCATTCTGTTTCTTGATGTGTTCTTGTCTGAGGTAGAAAGTATAGGTTAAACTCAAAGTTCAAATTTTTCGATTACTTAGGCGTCAAATTTATGAGCTTTGTATGAAAAGCAAATCCCTGAAAAATTTTAAGCCCTCAATTTTAAGGGATACCAAATTGGTATAAAAGGGTTGGTTTTGTGAGGTGTATATAGCTAAGTTGGGAAATCATTGATAGAATTTAGTTCTTAATCCCTTTTCCCCTCTCCATATAATGGTATCTATATTTTCCCTTAACCATTGCCCTATGTAAACCATTTTGATGCACCTGTAGGAGTAGTTCTTGTGTTATATTTGCATATGATTTAACATGGTCTCTCTGGGTTCCTTTTTTCTGCTATTCTAGTTGCTTTTAGGCATTTTTGTAGTTAGAAAATGGAGCATGACCTAATATCGAATCTGCCGAAGACAATCCTTCATGACATTCTGTCAAGGCTGCCTGAGAAAGATGCTGCTAGGACAAGTGTTCTGTCCAAGGTGTGGGCGGAAACGTGGTTTACGTTTCCCATCTTGTCTTTTTCTGATACTAAAATCATAGGGACATTTCCGCAGCCACAGGGTGATTTTCTGAGGAAACGGAGAAACTTCGTTGATCATGTGAAGAGAACATTGCTAAGGTTCTGTGACCAGGACTTAGCAATCAAAGAATTTAAGCTCATTATCAACTGTTTTGACCTTCAGTATATGTCCCGGGATGTTGATTGTTGGATGAAGTTGGCTAGTGAAAGCGGTGTTGGGGTACTAGAACTTTGTCTGCCTGATGGCCCTGAGCAAGATGAGGAAGGTCAGGACCGGTGCTATATCTTGCCAACAGGTATCATCGAAGCCAAATCGCTTTATAAGTTAGTGTTGATGGGGGGAATCAGAGTTGATCAAGCATTCCTGAATCATTCAGTCAAGTTTTTCTCATTAAGAGTGTTGTCATTGTGGCTCGTCCTATTGGGAGATGAACAGGCGATTGAACATCTCATTTCTTGTTGTCCTTTGATTGAACATATAACTTTGAAGTGCTGTTCTGTATTGCACCAAGGTGGCGCAGGAGGTCTAGTTGGGTCCCAGACCTCAAGGATGCATTCTATACGCATGCTTGGTCTGCCAAAGCTTAAGGAAGTTGATATTCAAGGAATTCAGGAGGTTATCATTGATGCTCCAAGTCTAGAGTATTTCTGTTTTTGTCCTGGTGGTGATTTGAATGCACCTTTTAAGATGGACATTGACAAGTGTAGAAATTTGAGAGGGTTACACTTATGGTCATTGAAGAGCACTACTATCACAGACAAGTGGTTTCTTGATCTATTTCCTAAATTTCCTTTCCTTGAGAGTTTGAAATTCGTCAATTGCACAATGTCCGAGACAATTAATATTTCAAGTGCTAAATTGAAGCTCTTGGAGTTATCTAATTGCTCCAACTTGAAGGAGGTCAACATTGATGCTCCAAATTTAGTGTCATGTGGATATTGTGGTGATGGTGCTTCAAAACCTGTTATATCTTTTCTGAAAAGTTCTAGTCAATTGGAAGTCAATGTTCTGATCCACATTGATTTTATGGATCTTGGTAACTTGAGGGAATTCATCCAAAACTTCAAACCTCAAAATGTTTTGGCGTCACTATCCCTGTTTATCCACCAGCCAATTGTAGTAAGTATAAATTAGTTGTTTGAATGGTTCATTCCATTTCCATATTCACTTATTTTTTAATATGTACCCTGGATTGTGTAGGACGAATTGAACTTAGATGTCTTGCAAGTTTTGTCCACTCCACCAAGCATCAAACATTTGGACCTCCGTGCTGTTCCAAAAAATAAAACTTTGTATCTGCCTCTTGTCAATAGTTTGCTTTCAAGTTGCTGTCCTGCAACTATTTCGTTGAGCTTGCATTCTTTTTTCTGCAGCAGAGCATTCATTGAGGTATGTCTTTTTCTCCAAGATTTTTTTCATTTTAAACCATGCTTCCAAAAGTGAGTGTGAGACTCAAACTAAATTGTGGATATCTTGTCCTACCTGATAAAAGAAGAAAAGTTTGTCTTGCCATGTTTACATTTTATATCAGACATGTTGCATTATTTATGCATAAAAGGTTTTTATGAATATATTTCTAATTCTATTTGTTAATCGTCTTAAACACAGTTTTTCTATGAAACACTTATGAGAAGAAAAGAAGAGGAGTGCTTTTGCAGTTCTGGTCATACAAAGTGTTGGTGGCATGACTTGAAGGATGTCAAAGTCTCAACCTCTACAAAAACCAATGAGAATGTTGATTTCAAGACCATGTTAGATGCATTGCCAACTTTTTCACCTCAGGAAAATATTAGCTTTAGGTTGGAATTGTAAGATTGTTATCAACTGATAGACTGCTTATGTAGAAGTTTGTTGATACAAAATAATATGAACATCCTTCTTGTTCTATTTCTGACTTTAGCCAAAGCTCTTGTATGCAAGCCAAGAAACTGGGTGAAATATAAATAGGTTCCCCTATTGGGTTTCCATCTGTCATAAGTGAAATGAGTGTTCTTGAATGAAAAATAGGGAAGAACAGGTCAGAAAACTGTTGAGAAAGAAAAAAATAATCACCCCTTGACATTAATTTGGGTGAAAGGCACTTGTACAGTAGTAATGCAAAGTTACTGCTTAATGTTGCAATTCATTGACTTTTATAAAAAAAATAATTTAAAAATTATATATACATAATTTGTGATTAATTAATAGTGTAGTTATTAAACTGATTTACTATATACTGAACTATCGCTGTTACGATAGACACCTATGCAGCACTTGCATCTTTTCATAGACCAATTTGGAAAATTAAATACAATAACGCATCTGTTCATCATACTTTTTTAAATTGTTAATTCCACAATAAGTTCAAATATATTAAACATGATGGTGGAGTTCAAGTGTGAATTAGAGTTCTACTATGCATCGATAAAATGTTCTCTAGTGTTTACATCCAGCAGAATTTGGTTTTGATTGGGCATGTGGTTTCATTCGAGTTTGAGTACACATCTTAAATGCCATTTTCTATATGAATCAAGTCAATCTTCATTTTTAATATTGATCCTGATAGTTTGAAGTATTATTTTGAGATTATTTCGTCAGGTTTTCCATCACAAACTTAAGTCTATAATGATGAACAATGTTGGGGGGTTTAGAAGCATTTACTAACCACATTCATGGGTGCTTCACGTTAGAAGCATTCTTTTCCCATTACCAATGGTTTTTGACCCAATGTAACAGCAAATTTTCTTTGAGAATGAAATCATCATATACCAAAAATAACATAGGTTCATTATAATTTTTTTTCTCTAAAAGTAACATAGGTTAATTTAAATAGATTATAAATCCTACATCTGCATATAGGCAGAAAAAATACTAGGAATAAGCAAATAACGAAGAGGTTGTGGTTATAAAATTAACCAGGTTTAAGAGTTTGAAATTAAACATATATATATATAATAAAAACAAGAATAATAAATAAAAAAAATTGAAACAACTCTAATATAATATACATCAAAATGTATCTCTTGTATAAAATAAAAAAAAAATAAAAAAAATAAAAAAACATTAAAATGTATCTAACTCATTTAAGTAGTGTATATAAGTTGTTGGAAACTCTTAGAACCGAGAAAACAAAATCTACGTAATCAAACGACTCAGAAGTTCAACGTTCTTTATTTTATTTTGTTTTGTTTCTTTAAATTTTCAGTCGTACCTAGAAAATTAAAAGTCCATCAACTATACGCAGTATTCAGTCCAAAAATTAATAAACAGTTGACGCTTGACACGTATACTTAGAGGAAGTATTTTATTTTGTGCTCTCAAGATTCATTTGGTTCAAGTGATTAAAAAGAATGGTTTATAAAACTAGGAGTGTGCATGATTTGATTTTTTAAAAAAACTGCACCGAATTATACTATACTATTTTAATAAAATGAACTGGTTTATAAATTACGTGAATTATTTTAACAAATTATTTTAAAATTGAACTACTTTAATAAACAAGTTTATAATCACTATAAAACCATAATTTTTAACTGTTTGATATATAAAAAGAAAAGGCTTACTTGAACTTCTTGCGACTCATGTTATATTTTTTCACAATTTTTTTCATTTAACTTTTCGAATTTGCATATCTTATTATTTAATTTCTAAAGTTTTATAAATTTTGTCCCTATAATTAATCACTAATATCACATATCTTGACATGATACATTATTTTTTTATGTGACCAAGGACACATTCTTGTATATCATTGTGGGACAAATGTTCCCACTAACTTTTTAATATACAGTTTCTTTTATATATATGATAATAAAATCTCTCACTTACATGTTAAAAACAAAATCCTCTTATTATTTTTATGTTTTTATTTTGTAAAAAAAAAAAATTTAAGTCAATACTTTAACCTTTTGAAATGTTTTTTTTATACTATTTTGTATTTTCGATTTATAATTTATAATCAATAGCAATTATAAAGACAATATTTTGTTTTAGTATTCACAATTTTTTCTCTTTTATCTCTTAACTAATATAAATAATTATCCACTATTATAGAATTAACTGCACATTCTCTTATTATTATTTTTTTATTTAATAAAACACAAAATGTCTTTTTTGTCAGTATATATAATATTAATTATAGTTAAGTGAAATCAATAAAAAAATAATGGTTAACTTAAGTTCATATTATATTATTTTTTAAAATAAAAAAGGTAAAATTTTTAATATAAAAGATGAATAATTAAATGATTGTTTAATTATTTATATAAAAAGAGATATTTTTCAAAAAAATGAAAGTGAAAAAATCATTTAATATTTTTAAAATATAAAATATCATAAATAAAAATAATAATATATTTATATTTAAAAAATATGAAGTTATATATATAATATTGTTATAAATTTATATATAAATATTATTCTCATTATTTCAAATTTATAAATTTATAATTTTGATATGACATGATATGTCATATCAATCTATGTCAACGATCACATTTACATCAGTAATTAATTAATAGTGTCAAAATTTGTGAAATCCTAAAATATAGTTGGTAAAAAATACAATTAAGTTGAATGAAAACGGAAAGGGCGAAAAAACAAAACAAAGGCAATTTTTATCTTTTTTATACAATCAAGAAGTATAACTATTTTCTGATGACTCATTTTAGTGATAAAATGATACTTTTTTTTATCTGATTCTATTTTTAATGTAGAAATAAAGTTTTAGTTATTAGTTAAAAAATATTTTTTATTATTTTAAATTTCTTTTTTTTTCATAACTCTTAGCTCTTTTTTTTTTTTTTTCTCTTTTCATTTTTTTATCATATTTTTTAAATCTGGTTTTTGCATTTAAATATAGTGCTAGTTGTGTTTGATTTAGGAAAGAAAATGAAAGAAAAAAAGGAAAAGAAATAAAAAAATGATTTTTAGATTGCTTGATGCTTAAAAAACCCGAAAGGAATAAAAAGAAGGGGAAAAAGTTCCTTTTTTTTTTTTTTGATTTTGTAGAAGAAAAAACATATAGAGAAAAAGTTAGGATTTCTTGAGACTAAGTCTAAGTCTAAATGCTTACACTGTATCTCGTATCTTAAATAATTTTTTATATAATACAAATTTAAATGATTTAAATAGTTGAATCATGTGATATTATATTCAAGATTATGTATATCAAATTTCATATGATTTGAACTTTTTTAAATATGCTTTCCAAAATTAGATATTTACACATATTTTAAATATCAAATGTGAAATTTGATATACATGTTCTTGAATATAATATCACATGATTTAATGATTTAATCAGTTAAAATTACATTATACAAAAAAAATTATTAAACATAAATTTTGGTATAAGTGTTTAAACTTATTCTTGGTGTCAATGAATCACCCACACATATGAGGAGGGATCTACTTACTTTAAGAGTAAGTTTACATAAACTTATTTCACTCAATCATTTATATTTTATATTAAATTTCAACGACTCAATCATTGAATTAAAATTTTTTAATGTATAGATCAAGTCTACAATTTTTTTTAAAAAAATTGAAAATTGTTATATACTTTGTTTCATTAATTCAAGTTAATATATAAAATATTTTTATGATTATTTTTCAATTTGAATTAATAAAACAAAGTATCGAATAAATTTCAATTTTTTAAAAAACTTGCAAACTGGATTTATGCATTAAGAACTTTTAATTTCAACTTATATATAATATATATATATACATATATATATATATATGTATGTATGTATGTATGTATGTATATGTACACACACATGTAGAGAGAGAGAGAAAGGAGGGATCTACTTATTCCAATAATAAATCTACCTAAACTTATTTCACTCAATAACTCATACTATATATTAAATTTCAACGATCAAACCATTAAATTAAAAGTTCTTAATGCATAGATCAAATTTACGAATTTTTTATAATTATTTGAAACTTCGTTATATAAATTCAAATCAATGTATAAAATATTTTATAATTATCTGTCAATTTGAACTAATGAAATGAAATATTAAAAAAATTTCAAATTTTTTTCAAATTTTATAAACATGACCTATGCATTAAAAACTTTTAATTCAACGGTTGGATCATTAAAATTTAATATAGAATATGAGTTATTAAACTGAATAAGTCTAGGTAGACTTATTATTGAAATAAGTGAATCCTTTCCTCTATATATATTTTTAAAAATATTAAGTAGACTTACTCTTAGAGTAAGTGAATCATTACTCATATAT